TCCTCTTACATGTGTATCTGAGATCTAGAGCTTATACTCGAAAAATATATAGGATTTCTTAAAGCTTTAATTTCCCTTTAATAATTTTTTTATCCGTAAGTACTACATAGCTAGAAGTGGCTTTATAGAATGAATCGATCAGAGAAAAAAAAGGAATATAAATTCGGGAGAAAGAAACCGACGTGATAGAATACATATAGAAACAATACACGTACAATCTTTGCGCTATTCCTAGTTAAATAGCACAAAGAATATGAAATTGACCAAAAATGACTTTTTATAGAGCTTTAATGGAGTAATAGTAGAACTTTTTTGTAGTTTTCCCTAGTCATTCATACAAAAAGTAACTTTCTCAGTTCAACCGACTCTTTTATCATTTTAGTATCATCAACTCACTAAACAGGTCCCCACTCTTATAATTACATGGCTCATATTAACCCCAGTGAAAAGTGTTTTTAACTCTTTATCCATAGTACTGTGTGGTGGAAAGCTGTGGATGTTGACATACAACAAAAAAATCTCAGTTTTGAGTTATTCGGGTAGATAGTGTAAGAAATATCTACACAATTAACTTGTAGAGTAATATAAAAAATATACATATAAATTTTTGTTGGTCATGATAAAAATATGGAACTTACTATCAAAAATTAAAATTCACGAAAAGTGCAAAAGTTTTATATTATGTCAAATATAACTTAAATTTAACTTTTAATTTTATGTTAGGTTCTTGTTACTTAATGACATCAATCAACTTTTGGTATCACACTTGGAGTTCACTGCCCAAAATGTCAACTTTGAAATTAAAAAAAAAAAAAGTTGTTGGTATTCAGACGATATTTGTCCCGTGTTTACGGCATCATGAGAGCAATTGTTGAGGCTTGAGGGCAACAATGATAGTGACACCCATTCACTTTTATTGAAGCTTTTTAATTCAATCTTTCTTCAATTATTTTATTTTAGAAAATATAGTACTATTGGTTACAATTACGGCGACGCAATATTCGATGATAACTATGTTTTTCCTTTGTTTATTTAATTTAAAGTGGGATTTGTAGTCAAGATTCTAAGCATGAGTTTTGAGTTATCTTCATCTTCTTGTCTCGGGAGATGAGAGATCTGCCTATGCACTACAATCACTACGCGGACATGAAATGTACTATTCATATTTGGATCAAACAAAATAAATGTGTTTTTCCATAATTAAGTAATATTTAATTACCCTCCCTTTAATTTGATAGTTATGATTAAATTATTTGTTTGCTGTAAGTATTTGTTCCTGTTTTTTTTCCTATATATTTTTATATAACCTAATTATACTGATGTAATTTTATGAAATATGATTGCAAAAAAAAAAATCGAGTTCATCTCGTCATCCTTTTATAGAATTAAGAGCAATGTATATATATCTTCTTCACCATTTGAATGTGATCAAGAAACTCGTTAAGTTAACCTAAGAGTTCCTTATGATTTCACAAAACTTTCGGCTATAAGATAGGAATATATAATTGGGAAAATGATGTTATATAGTCAAACTCAAAATAATAATTGATTTTTATATATATATATATATATATATATATATATATATATATATATATTCTGTATGTTATATACAAAAAATATATGAATTTTATATACTTTTTTTGCTATCGAATGTAAATAATTTTTTGTGCGAGCTAAAAGTGAAAAAATTGCTTTTTGTAGACTAAAGTGAAGAGTTTTGTTGGACCCTTAAGTGGGCTAGTCATATTGAAAGACTGGATTGGCCTCCTATTGAGGGCCGGGTTTAGAAGATACAAGTTCCCAAATGTGAGATGTGACCCTCCTTCCCCTTAGAGGGTCAATATTTCAAGAATGTTTAGATTGGAAATGAAATTTCTTTTGTTTAAACAAAAAATAGAAATATTGTTTTTTTTTGTTATAAATAGTCATAAGTATGTATAACTTTCTAATGTTAACATCATGATCGTAGATATATCACTGATTTGGATTTTTTATTTCCTTCCATTTTTATTCAAAGGAGTATTGGGTTGCTTAGGTGGCTAGCATTAGCAAGTGAGATAACATGGGCTCGTATTCAGACTATCCATCAGATAGTTTTCGGACGGATCCATATTTTTTAGGTCGAATTAGGGTGGCAAAATGGTTAAAAGAAAACAGTTAATCACCTATATTATTCATTAAAAAATTGGTTGGTTAATAAACTTTTTAAAAACGGATTAAATATGGATAAGAACCATATTATCCATTTTCTAAATGGGTAATCAATGGATAACTAATGGGTCTAACTTTTACATTTGTAAAGCCTCAAATTGGTGATTCCACTAAAAATTCTCCCAAAAGTGATCATATGCAAGAAGTCATGGATAATATGGTTACCCATATTATCCGTCCGTTAACCTGTTCTTTATCCATATTATTTGGATCGGGTCGGATAATTTATCTATTTTTTCATTACCCATTTTCGGCCCGAACTATATCTGATCCGACCCGCCCGTTTGCCACTCCTAAGCTGAACTCATAAGCGACTCTTTAAAGTTGGCGTCATTTTTTTTATTTTAACACCTTATGTTAGTCATGTTCCATTTGTAACATTCTAATTAACCACATTTCAAATGCATCACTTAAACTACACACGAAAAACTACCAGAAATGACACAATTTGAGAAACACAATACATGTTTTTATACCTGACATACATTTAATTTTAAAAAAGTTAGTCATGCCAAAATGTGGGTAATAAAATTTGAAAAGGACATGACGATGAAATCCCAAATACCAGCAACCTCAATGCGCAGAGAGAAAGAGCTACGTAATTGGTAAATTTCGTCGAATGTTCGGAAGTGGGCTTTTAGCTTGGTTTTCAAAGGAAGCATGAAAGTAGCATCTTTAGAGAAGCTTCTTCTTCATTTCTGATGCAACACAAGAGACAAACTAACACAAATATTAATTTATTATTCCACTCTATACAAAGGAAGCAACTCTCTAATTAAGCCAAATTTATATATAGGGAGTATTATTTATATATGGTTCTGCAAAATCATTCTTGGATTCTTTCACTTAATCGAAACTTCTTCATTTGCAATAATATGAACTACTCCCAAATGTCCAAAATAAGTGATTTTTTAGCTGTTTTCACACAGATTAAGAAATCCACCTTTTAACATTAATTAGCAATAAAATTGACCATATTAACTTTTACTATCTCTTCACATAAATACTCCTAACACATACTGCAACACTATTTACTCCAAGGACAATGTAGGAAAAAAAATAATTAATTCATTCTGGAAATCTGAAAAAATCACTTATTTTGGATCATAAAAAAAAGGCCAAAAAATCACTTATTTTGGACCGGAGGGAGTAGTATGTCTTTTGACACGAAGAAAAAAAAACTTATCTTTTTCGAGAAAAACCTTATTCCCTACTCCTAGATATCATTTTTTCATTATTATTTTCTAATAACTTCTCAAAACATTTTAGTTATTTGAAAACTTGATCGTGGGAGAGTTTCGATATGACAATTTAAAATGGACAGGCAGCCAAAACAATGTTAGACATTTTCACACTATACTAGATACTGATCTTAGAGAACATAAGAGTTAGTTCATTCAATGCATCGGTGATTAGCTAAAGTTGTGGACAGGGATAATATTATTATTTGCTTTTTGTTTATTACTATTTTGAAGATCATTTAACTGCAAAGGTTCTTGGAGTAAAGTCATTCCAAGGTTGATTATATTGCATTACAACAGTTAATTTGACAAACATTAAGAAAATGCACGTGAAAACTCACCAAATATACTGAACAAATTTACTTTTACGTGGAAACATTAAGAATACCATATAATTTTAATATATAGAAGGATTCAACATTAGAATTTTCGTGGATATTTTTAATAGTAATTAAAATCCAAGTTAGCTATATAATGTCGAAGAATTTTTCATGCTCTATGCAGCCTTCTTAATTGTATTAGATTCTAGTGATGGATGTAGAATATAAGTTATAGTTCAGTAGAACCTAATAATTTTAGCGTAATCTTTATATATACATGTTAAGAAGTTTAAATATTAATACTATATTTTAAATTTAACAGATAAAATATTGATCAATGGGTTTGGTGACATCCCTAATTCAAATTTTAGATCTGCCCTCTTATACAGCAAAACATAAACTCCTTTGAATGATGTCTCACTGACAAGAAAGCCAAACAATTGATACGTAGAATACTCATGGTCATGGACAACAGTTGGTCCAATTATTAGTATTCTACTTAATGACAATAAAACACCCAAATAAAAGCAAAGATATTATTTATTAGGAAAACAATAAAGAAAGGGAAAATAGAGAATGAAAGAAGACCATGAAATACTAGATATTTATGTGGAATTTGATCCTTTTATAATTGGGGGGAGGGGGGGGGGGGGGGGTCTCTCAACCCATAAAAGCTTGATAAAAAATACTTCCATGCACGGAACAGCTTCACTATTATAATTTATACACCATTTTAATTGTCTTTTAATTTGTTTATTTACCAATTTTTATACGTGGAAAAATGTTGTGTTGTAGTAAGTACGTTATCCCAAGTTGAACAACCTCTGAATGTGCTGTTAAACGTATTAAAAAAGGGACCCTTTTTCACTGCGTTTTTCCATAGAAAGAAATACCAGACAAAAGAAAAATATAATGATGCAAATTTTGAAAAATGGGAATTCACCTGCCTGCACTTGCCTGCCATGTCCAACCCTTATGGCAAAGTACATGCATATAATAATAAGATTAAGTCTTCTCTATACTATAATAATTTGATTAGCGAAAATCAAAGTTTTGTGTAACATGAAGGTGGAATAAACTAGCTAGCAAAGGTTAAAATATATATAAACCTAATCTTCGATCATTCATAAATTTCATATTTAAACTTCCCTTTTTTTTGGTGGGGTGGGGGTGGGGGTGAGGGTGGAGGGGGGAGGGGGAAGTATGTAATTTTGTAGATGCATGGTAGTACTAAAATACTAGATTGTTGTGGCCATTAAAGCAAGCTTGAAGTTATGAGAAGTTCAAAAGAAATTAAAATAGATTAATTTGGTCACCCATTTGAGAAGAAGAGTGAGCTTATTGATGTTGAGGAAGTTGTTGTTGTTGCATCAGCAGCAGCCGCAGCTAGCTGATATGTTCTTTGCCTAAAACAACCCATTGAATTACTTGGTGGTGATATGGCCACTGTCACTGTTGATGAATGTGCTCCTGATTCAGCTGGAGACTCTTTCCCAAAAGATAAAACAAAATATATTCAAAAACAAAACCAAGAAAACGCCAATACTCAATTTCCTATCATGTACAAGTTTTTAACAAAAAGGCAACAACAATAATAACAACAAATTCATTGAGTTCCCACAAATGAAGTTTGAATAGAATAGTGCGTACGCTGACCTTACCCCTATCCCGAAATGACAGAGAGGTTGTTTTGGATAGACCATTAGCTAGAGAAAAAAGGGGAACGACCACACACAAGGAAAAAAGATTTTAAGTTTTATGCTTTGAAGTATAAAACATATTTACATAGTTATAAGTGTATCTTTATGATAAACATTAATTGGCCGGTAACAATAGTAATCTTTCCATTGTAACTAAAAATATCTTTATTGTGAGATTCATCATAGGTTGACTATATTTTATGTTGACTGTCTTCGTAGCGCGATCCTCCTCTTTCTTTCCGTTATCAATATATATTACTCCATTCGTTTCAATTTAGATGACACATTTTGCTTATTATTCTGTTCTAAAAAAATGACATATTTTTATATTTAGAAATAATTTAACTTTAATGTTTTTTATTTTACCCACATTACACTTAATGAGAAGTTTTTTCTTTTGCCCTTTAAACTTTTAGGACCACATGTTTTAAAAGGCTTCTTCTTTTTTCTTTTAACTTTGTGTCAAGTCAAATTACATCATCTAAATTGAAACAATTTAAATCCGAAAAAGCCCTAGGAGATGGAAATTAGTTACTTGAATTAAGCTTGTCGGATGATGAATTCAGGGGGCTGTCAAGTTGAGGCTGCTTCTTGTTTATCACTTGCTGATTCTTCCTCCTTCTCCGGTTGTGATCTGCCAATCTTTTCCGGCAACTTCTTTTCCCGTTATCGAATTCCAACAGAACATGGAACCTGCATTGCAGCTTTTTTATCAGAATAAATATTTATGAAATAATGGTACTATTAATTAAATTGAATTTAAGAAGAAATTAATAAAAACTGCTTGCTAAATGTCCTTTTCTCTGTTTGATTAAAGCTGATGATTCTTTCTTTTAATGCTTAAACCAAAACGGAAAATGCTGTCTTCACTATAAGAAGCAAAAAAAGGACAACGGAGTAGCAGATTCAAAGAACGTAATTTTACGGACATAAATGCCCTTAGGATATATCCCCTCCCAGTCCCATGTACGTACGACTTTTCAACTCCTCCAACCCCATTCATTAGCTCGTTAACATACCAAAGGGCATTTCTGTCATCTCACTTTCCCATCTCCGTGGAAGTTAGAACGTCGCATTGTCATTGTTACAGCAGTACAACATTATTGTAATGTGGAAAAGGAAAAAAACATGGAAAGGCAAAAACAGTCCAAATTTTCTAATTATATCTGTTTTTTTGCCATAAAAAGAATAAAGTAAATTAGTACTCTAATATTATTCTAACTTCAATTTATCACATAATTATCATAAAATAGTGTTATTTGTTGGAAAGATATATATTTTTTCCCAACGCAATATAACCTGCTGCATTGTTGGCAGAAGCGCTGAGTCAAACCGGCGGCAATAACAGTGGCAGCTTTTGAGTGAAACTCACACACTTTGTGTCGTCGGTGGTAGTGCTTCGCGTGAGTGAGATCAGCGTTGCAGCCGTCAGCTTGGCACTTCGGCGAGTTAACTGAACCGTCCTCCACCGCCCTAGTCCGTCGGAAAATCCGGTTCACGAAATCGTCTTCTGACGATGCAAAATATGTTCTTCCGCCCAAATTCAACCCAATCCTACTAGTATTAGTGAAATCAATATCACCCATAAACTGGGGTTCGCTTTTTGGTAAAACCATATTGAACCCGGCCGAACCGGTTGGTTGTAAAGAAACCATGGATGTACGATGTGTTTCATCGTAAGTGTGTGGGTTGTACAAGGAGCTAAAATGGTTGTTATTTGGAGTTGTTTGAAATTGGGGAAATTGCAGATTTTGTATTTGTTGTTGTTGTTGGTCGAGGTGGTTTCTTATAGGAGAAAAATGGGCATGAGGGTTGACAAAAGGGTCAAAAAATTCATCGTTTTGGTCAGTTTCTTGAGTGGTTTCCTCGCCAGTTTCCCGTTCATAGTCCAACATAATTTCTCTTAACTTTTTCACTTCGATTTTCTTCAGTAAGGAAAAATTATTCACTGCCAATAAGCTGTGCATAAATAGATCGAGAAAGAAATATAAGGAAATTTGAAATTAAAGTATACTATATGAAATTGGTGGAATTTTTGAAGTGAGGTTGGAGTGGGGAGGAAATCTGTGAGGAAAGATTTTGTGGATTGAAAAGGCTGCAGCTAAAGACTTTACTGTTTAGCATTCAGTGAAGAGAGTTTTAGTAGGTGTGCTTTATAGGACTATGTAGGTATAGCAATAAATAGAAAAAAGAACATATTTCTTTCCTATCTTTTTGAGTTCTACATATTTCTTTCCTATCTTTTTGAGTTCTCAACAAAAGAATAAATAAAGTTTGTGTGTTGAGTTTTAGAATGCCTTTACGAGACATGTCGGTTTATGAGAGACTTGTTGCCTTTCTTGCTGAATGAATTTAACTTAGACAGAAATTCGAGTTTTTAAAATATATATTGTATGGGTCAAAAATTACCGTTGATATGATCATACCATATTAACATTAAAGAGGCTCTCGAAGACTGTCACGTGTCGCCAGTAGGACTTCGATAAAGGCATGCCCGACATCGAAGCGAACCCTTAAGAAGTGAAGGGTAAGGCCCATAACACTACTAGAAAATCGCTATTTTCCGACTGCAGAAACGGTTAGAAAGTGATCAAAAAATACTAATTTCCGACTACATTCAAGGTCGAAGAGTCAACAAATATCGAGATCGAAGAGTCAACGAAGATCAGAGTCGAGGTCGAGCACTTACCGTAAATAGAGTGAACAACGGCTAGTTTTAGGATAAGACATCAGAGGAGAATATTCTAGTGGATATTCTCTGTACCCGTACTGTTAGAGTATTCTAGGTATATATTCCCTATAAATAGAAAGAGACACAAGGATAGGGGAGGGAAGATATTCACTTGTAAGAAAACACATTGACTTTATAGAGAGAATCTGGTTTTATTGCAAGCACACGAGATACATTTTTACTAAGATTCTCGCATAACTTTGCCACTTGATCCAAGAACTACTTGAATATTCGAAGGCTCATCAATCATTCATCATTGTCAGAAGAAATATCCACAAATCTCATCCCTTTTCGGGTGACTCTTGCATGTTCTTATTTACTTAAATAATGGCATTCATTGCTATTATGATTATTATTATTTAATGCTACCTACCATCTTTTGGGTCATTGAATATTGTTAGCCTTGTCTACATTTACTGCCATTGGTCACATATACACCTCATCTACCACAAAATCGGGTATCTTGACTATTGGATATTAATATTAGCTAAGATTGACTCTACTTTATTTGAATCTAGTTGGTTGAAGTACTTAATTTGTGACTCTCTGCGCACAATAGCATGAAAACCGTTTCTCTCGGCTCACAATAGCAAAGTGTGCAATTGTCACCGGAATTAATGGCGCGGCGTCGGAAAACCTTGCAAGGTGCTGGTACACAGACGGGGAAGATGATAACTCCAGCAAATGGCGGTCAATTGGAATTACCTCCCTTAACTTTTGGTAGTTTTCTTCCACAAAAGTATCAATCGATTGAGGAAGGACATGAAGCTAGTAGTACTGAAGGTGAAATTCAACTGCAAGCGGTAAAAATGGAAGAGGTGATGAAATCTACAGTGAGGTGCTTACAATTCTCAGAAGCGAGTGGATCGGAGAAGCCAACACCTACGGTAGCTGATGTCGTTCGAGAAAATCGCAGCTCACAAATGGGGAAAACAGTGTCATATGTACCTCCAATTGATAGAGATGGTAAGAAAATAGTTAAATTGTGTGAGGAAGACTTACAATCTCAAGAGGAATACTGGAAAACTGCTTTAATAGGCTATATAATTGGAGAAAATCCCTATGAAAAAGCTATGGAGAATTTTGTGATAAGTGTTTGGAACTTTGTTACAAAGCCTCAGATCCTAATGCATGCAGAGGGAGATTGTATTTTCCGATTTAACACCATAGCTGATAGAGATCAAGTCCTGCAATCAGGACCTTACTCGTACAGGAACAAACCTATGGTATTGAAACTATGGGAAATTGATTTTTCATTCAACAGTGATGTTCTCAGTACAATCCCTGTATGGGTTAGGTTTCTTGGACTGCTAGTGGGATTCTGGTCGACTGAAGCTCTTAGTAAGATGGCTAGTGCAATTGGCAAACCATTGTACACTGATAAGTTTACTGCTCACTTTGAGAAGATTTCTTATGCTAGAATACTCGTGGAAATTGATGTTGCTTATCCTTTACCAGATCAGATTGAGATAGAAACACCTTATGGTCCAAAGATACAAGCAATTGAGTATGACTGGAAGCCTAGCTTCTGCAATGATTGCCTAAAATTTGGACATGATACTATGGATTGTTGGTATAACACAAAATGTGAAGCTGCACAGGAGATAAAGGAAAGGGATGGGCAGGAAATACAGAGGGAAAGAGGAAAGAAGCAGGGGAGAAATGTGAAGCAGGCCTGGATAGTCAAGCAACCACAAGTGAATGCAGATAACCAGGAAGATGAGATGACAGTACAGGAAATTGCACAAGTGGTAAGCAATGTAGCAAAGGTGAATGATAGTAAGGAAAGGGCACAACAGATTACTTATGTGTCAACTGATCAACAGGAGACTATTTGTAAGAATGTTTAGATAAGAAAGCAGATTGGAAAGGGCAAAAACATAGAGATAAATGAGGTGGAAGGAAGCAGTGGTCAACAAATTAATCCAGGACCACCAGACCCTCAAATACACAAATGATAATTGTTACATGGAACACTAGGGGGCTTAATCAAGCCCACAAGCAAAAAGAGGTGAAAACTCTTATTGCTGCAAATAAAGTAGATATTATGGCATGTATATAAACTAGAGTAAAGGAGCAAAAAGCAAAGAAAATACAAAAAAAATAGCTACTGGGTGGAATGTGTGCTGCAATTACTCATGTGCTGTAAATGGTAGAATCTGGCTATTGTGGAGGAATCCTATTCAAGTGATAATTAGTCATATGACTGATCAATTTATCCATTGTAGTGTTGAAGACCATAGAACTCAGTTCAAGGCTCAACTTAGTGTTGTCTATGCATAGAATGATGGACACAAGAGGGAAAGTTTATGGAGGGATCTGAGGCAGAATAATATCTCAAGTCAGGAGGTATGGCTATTGAGTGGTGATTTTAATAATGTTCTATCATCAGAGGATAGAATAGGATCTCCAGTTACTGTTGCTGAAGTAGAGGGATTTAAAGGGATGATAGATGATCTGCAACTTACCCCTGAGGGCAAAAGGGTGGCATTATACTTGGACAAATAAACAAGGAACTGGGAGTAGAGTGTATAGCAAGATAGACTGGGCACTAGAAAATTATTAGTGGATTCAACAATATGGGCATGTGGAAGCAGATTATATGAATCCATCTGTATCTGACCATTCCCCTATTCTTATAAAGTGTGGCAGCCAGAAACTACTACATCCTAAACCTTTCAGATTATACACAAATGTTATGGACCATCCACAGTTTCATAATATAGTTCAGCAAACATCGCAAAAGAAGTATGAAGGAGTATCTATGCAGAAGATATGGTGCAAACTAAAGAGTCTAAAAGAGCAGCTTAAGGAGATTAATGCTTATATGGCTTCCTACAAACAGAAACTTGATCAGGCAAGAGAGAGATTGGATATTGTGCAAAACCAGATGAAGCAGAATCCTTTGGCACAGTCACTTATAAATGAAGAGAAAGAAGCAATAGGTGAAATAGAAAAATGGAGTAAAGTGGAGGAACAAGTACTGAGACAGAAATCAAAGGCAAGCTGGATTGAGTGTGGTGATGCTAATACTAAATACTTTCATGCACAATGGAAGATTAGGGTCAGCCAAAACAATATAACTACCATTTACACAGATACAAGGGTGAAATTAACAGAAGCTAGTCTTGTTGAGAAGGAATTCATAACTGTTTTTCAGTCCTTAATGGGTGAGAGTGCTGGAGAACTACTATGTGCAAAATACAACTGTAATAAAGGAAGGACCATGCTTAAATGTGGAGCAACAAAGAACATTGATCCAAATGGTGACAATGGAAGAGATTGCTGAAGCAGTCAAGGACATGCCCAAAGACAAAGCACCAGGGATTGATGGTTTTCCTGTGGAATTCTTCACAAAAATCTGGGAGGTTGTGAAAGAGGACATCTTTGAAGCTGTTAAAGATTTCTTCAGTACAAACAGATTACCTAGTGTGATTAACACCACAGCAATCACACTGGTGCCAAAAGTGAAAGTCCTAACAACAGTAAAAGATTATAGGCCAATTGCTTGCTGTACTACCATGTATAAAATCATCTCTAAAATCATTAAAAGGAGGATAAAAGGTGTGCTTGAAGGGCTGATTGATCAGGCACAATCAGCTTTCATTGAAGGAAGGAGTATAATGGATAATATCCTGCTAAGCCATGAATTATTCAAAGGGTATACTAGAAAAGGAGTCTCTCCCAGATGTGTGCTAAAAGTGGATCTAAGGAAAGCATATGACACTTTGGAATGGAATTTTCTGAAGCAGATACTTATAGATATTGGATTCCCCTGCAAATTTGTACAATGGATAATGACTTGTGTTACTACAGTGTCATATTCATTGGTGCTTAATGGAGGACTGACTAAACCTTTTAAGGGGAAGAGAGGAATTAGACAAGGAGATCCAATGTCTCCTTACTTATTTGTTCTTGCTATGGAATATCTGAGTAGAGAGCTAAAACAGTTGCACAAGAATGGGAACTTTAACTACCATCCAAAGTGTAGAAAGCTGAACAACACACATGTGTGCTTTGCTGATGATTTGCTTCTGTATTGTCGAGCTGATATGGAGTCCATAAGGATCCTAAACAATGCTTTTTACAGGTTCTCACAAGCTTCTGGATTGCAGGCAAATGCAAGTAAAAGTGCTATCTACATGGCTGGGATAGATCAAAAGACTAGAGAGGAAATCCTACAAACATTGGGATTCAGTGAGAGCAAATTACCTTTCAGATACTTGGGCATTCCATTAGACTCAAAAAGTTAACTATTGCTCAATACTTGCCACTGGTGGAAAAGATAACAGCAAAAGTTACTTGCTGGTCAGCAAAGTTTCTCTCCTATGCAGGAAGGTGTCAACTTATAAAGGCAGTTATCTTTGGAATACAGACATAATGGGCACAGGTATTCATCATCCCAAAGAAGGTTCTGAAATTGATAGAAGCCATATGCAGAACATTCCTATGGACAGGTAATACAACTATCTCAAAGAAGGCATTAGTAGCTTGGGAAAATGTATGTAAACCAATGGCAGCTGGGGGACTCAATATAATAGACATCAAGGCATGGAACAAAGCAGCTATTACTAAGC